AAAAAAAAAAAAAAAAAAGCTGTTGCAGCACTGGAGGTACTCACTCATCTGTGGCAAGAAATTTGGTAGACAGCTACCTGACCAACTGATTGGAAGATTTGTGCCTCAACAGAATGTGAAATAATCGGGCAATTTCATAAATAGTGCATAAAAATAAAATTTTGGTGATCATAATTCAAAAAGACCTGCACCAGTACATCCACAGGGAACTGCCAGAGCTTCAAATCAGATTCAGACAAGGACATGAAAGAGGGATATCATTGCTGGCATCAAAATGGATCTTGATTGAAAATGGAGAATATCAGAAAGACGTTTCCCTGTGCTTTATTCACTTTGCAAAGACTTTCGACTATGTGGACCATGACAAGGTATGGACAATATTGAGAAGAACGGGGATTCCAGAACACTTAATTCTGCTTATGAGGAACCTGTACAAAGACCATGAAGACAGTCATTCTAACAGACAAAGTGACACTGAATTGCTTAAAAACAGGAAAGGTGTGTACCAGGCTTGTATTCTTTCACTATACTTGTTCAAACTGTATGATTTCCAAATAATCTGAGAAGCTGGATAAGAAGCAAGTGGCATCAGGATTACAGGAAGACTCATTAACAACCTGCGATATGCAGATGACACAACTTTGCTTGCTGAAAATGAAGAGTACTTAAAATACTTATGATGGAGGTCAAAGACCACAGCCTTCAGTATGGGTTGCACTTCAATATAAAACAAAAGTCTTCACCTCTGGACCAACAAATAACATCATGATAAATGGAGAAAAGACTGAAGTCAAAGACTTCATGTTGCTTAGATTCACTATCAGCAGGCATGGAAGCAACAGTCAAGAGCTCAAACAACATATTGCAGTAGGCACATCTGCTATACTAAACCTCTTCAAAGTGTTGAAGAACAAAAATGTGAGTTTGAGGATTAAAGTATTCCTGACCCAAGCTATGGTATTTTCAATAACCTCATATGCATGTGAAAGTTGGACAGTTAATAAGAAAGACCATTAGGAGATTTAATGCATTTGGGTTATGATGTTGGAGAAGAATATTTAAAGGAACATGGAGTGCCAGAAGAAAAATTATATGTTGGAGCTACAGGTAAAATACTCCTTAGAAGCCAATGGATCGGTCCCTCAAAAAAGACACCATGCTTGGTAAAGTAGAAGGTCAGTGAAAAAGAGAAAGAACCCCAGTGAGGTGGATTGGATTGGTACAGTGGCCGCTGCAACAGGCTCAAGTGTAACTGATTGTGAGAATGGCATAGGACCTGGCAGTATTTTGTTCTTTTGTGCTTACTTAAGGTCACTGTGAGTTGGAACAGACTCAACAGCAACTTACAACAACAACAATACTGACTGAGGATCTTGTCTGTAGTTACAGTTTACTGCTTCCTGGCAGGGTTCCTTATCTGCCTCCCTTAGGTTCTCTTACAGTGATAGTCACAACCCTCAGAACGTTATAATTTTATGTGTATTGTAGATCCACACAGGGAATGATGCAAGAAATCTATAATTAAATGCACTTTGTGTAAAAAACTCTGATACTGTGGCTTTCTTTTCAAATGTTTAGAGGAACATCTTTTCCAACGTACATTGTTTGTTTACTATGATCCCACTTGTTTAAAACATAACTTGAGTTACTTATCAAATTGATATATACCTTTGTTTACATGTTTTTGTACCTCCTTCCTTCCTCGTAAACCATAAATATTTGGTGATGGAGGAAGGGATCCTAGGTTGTGTGCAGGTATGAAAGTAAAGTCATAAATGTGTTTAGACCTAATAACCCATTAGGTGAAGTGTTCTCTTGGATTCTGGTAGATGGATACTGGCTTATTTTTACTTTTCCTATATGCATTTAAAAAAAAAAAAAAAAAACAGCAAAAAATTCAAAAGAACACAAACAGCACAATTTTAAATCTACTATCTGGGTTGATTTATGAGCTAGACTAAAGGAATCATCTGAGCCAGGAAGAAAGACCAGTACTAAATGCTGCCTCCCTTTAAGCTGGGAGTACTCAAGTGGTCAGTCGAGGGTGCTTTTGCACCTACTGCTCAGATTTGGTTCCCTAAATCACAGACCATGGAGGAGAAAATGTGGTGACTGCCTTGTTTCCCTTGTGTCTTTTCTCAGAAAAAATGAGTAGCGAGCATGCTACTGAGATGGAAACCATGATGTCTTTGGTTCACAGACTGTTCACAGTCATACATTTTGATGAGTATCAGAAAAAGAAGGAGAACCACTTACTGGAGAAAATTGACCACTTGAAAAAACAGCTGCAGCCCCTCGAACAGGTTAGGAAACATCACCATTGAGTTTGTAGAGCTGCTGGGGTGGTTTGATCTACCAACCTTTAGGTTAATATTGTTGTTAAGTGCTGTCACATTGGTTTCAACTCATAGTGACCATGTCTAGGGTTTCTGAGGAGCAGCAGCTGAGATTGAACCACCAACCTTATGGTTCAAACCAACCTTGTGCTTCAGTGCATTAACCTGCAGCAGCACCACACCACCATTGCAAACCGCTTGTGCCACCAGGCTGTATATAAAAATAAAACCTAATTTTTACTATGTTGGTCGGCTAAAAGCGCAAGGTTGGCTTTTCAAATTTACCAGCTGCTCCATCAGAGAAGCATGAGGCTGTCTCCTCTTGTAAAGCTTAGAAACCCTATACAGGGTCACTGTGAGTTGGAATGGACTTACTGGTGGTGGATTTGGTATTGATTTGAATGTTTGCTTTGTACTCTTCTTGTGAACATTTTTCTGAGTGCTTTACATATGTTTCTTTTCTACTTTGATCCTTACAACAAGCCTGTGAATTTGTATTGCTCTGATCCTCATTCTTCAGATGAGGCAACTGAGACAACAAAGGCGTATTCCTAATAGGTGGTAGAGCCACCCTTCTCATCCCTAATAAGCCATGATGTCTGTGCAGATGAATGGTGGTGGTGGTTATGTGCCGTGGAGTCGGTTCCAACCCATAGTGACCCTGTACAGGGTTTCTGAAGCTGTAAATCTTTACCGGAGCAGAAAGCCTCATCTTTCTCCCGCATGCAGATGAGTACTGAGTAGCTCATGACAATTTATGAATATTTTGCTTTCAACCTATAAAACTTATACTCTGAGTTGGGATGAGAGCTCACAGGGGGACTACATAAATTTATTTTTTATGGAAAGCAGACCTGATGCCCAGCTCTGCTTTAACATAATTGCACCTAAAAATTTAGTAATGATTTCTTAACGTCATTAAAGTTAAAAGAGAAAAATAACTTTGAGTTTATGTTTTCAGTCTGTTTTTTTTAAGGGAAAAACTACATCCTTTAAACTTTGTGGTCCTATTTGCTATTTAAAAAAATAGCTAGCAATATGTGTATATACATATATGACTAGAGTTTATGGACATGTAAAAAGTTTGTAATCAGAATTACAATTTAACGTTTGAAAGTGGTAGAGAAAGAGTTTTCTGTTTTACTGTTTGGATTGTTTACTTCCCTTTTTTTCCTTCACTTATTGTTAATTGGTAATATGTTTATGTGGTTTGTAGTCCCTGTTGTTATTTTTGTTAGGTGGTGTCAAATCGGTTCCTACTCATAGCAACCCAGTGCACAATAAAAGGAACCACTGCTGATCCTGTGCCATCCTCACAGTTACTATGTGTGAGTCCATTGTTGCTGCCAATGTGTCAATCCATCTCCTGGGGGGCGGGGGGGCTTCCTCTTTTTCATTGACACTCTGCTTTTTCGAGCATTATGTCCTTTTCTAAGAATTGGTCCCTACTGAGAAGATATCCGAAGTACAAGAGATGAAGTCTCACCATCATGACTTCTATGGAACATTCTGATTGTACTCCTTCCAAAACAGAGTTGTTTGTTCTTCTGGCATTCCATGATATTTCTTTATTCATTCACCAACACCAGAATTTAGATTCATCCGTTCTTCACCTGTCAGCCTTCTTTGTTCATTGTGCAACTTTCACATGCATATGAGGTCACTGAAAATACCATGGCTTGGGTCAGGCACATCTTAGTCTTCAGAATGACATCTTTTCTCTTTAACATTTTAAAGAGGTCTTGTGCAGTAGATTTGTGTAATGCAGTTTGTTGTTTTCTTGATTGCTGCTTCCATGAGCATTTATTTGTAGATTCAAGCAAAATGACAAAAAGGTTGAAATTTTAACCTTTTCTCCATTTATCATGATGTTATTTATTGATCCAGTTGTGAAGATTTTAATTTTCTTTATATTGCAGTGCAATCCATACTAAAGTCTTTGATCATCATCAGTATTTTAAGTCCTCTTTGCTTCTAGCAAGCAAGATTGTGTCATCTGCATATCACAGGTTGTAAATGAGTCTTCCTGCAATCCTGATAACCACATTCTTTTTCATATAATCCAACTTCTCGGTTTATTTGCTCAGCATGGTGAATCAGTATGGTGAAAGTATTTGTAAGTATACAACTCTGGCAAACACTTTCCCTAATTTTAAACCATTCATTGTCCTTTTGTTCTATTTGAATGACTGCCTCTTGGTCTATGTACATGTTTCTCATGAACCACAATGAAGTGTTCTGGAATACTCATTCTTCTCAATTTTATCCATCGTGGAAAGCCTTTGCATACATATTAAATAAAGCGCAAGTAATTCTCTTTCTGATATTGTCTGCTTTCTACCAAGATCCATCTGGTATCAGCAATGATATCCCTCATTCCATACCCTCTTCTTTATTGGGCTTGAATATATGGCAGTTCGCTGTTGATTTGTTCCCTTTTGAATTATCTCTAGCAAAATTTTGCTTCAGTGTGATATTAATGATATTGTTCAATGATTTCTGGCTTCCATTGGTTCACTTTTCTTTGGATTGGGCACAGATAAGGATGTCTTCTAGTCAATTGAAAGGTAACTCTCTTCCAGATTTCTTGGCATAGATGAGTGAGAGCCTCGAGTGCTGCATCAACTTGTTGAAAGATTTCAATTTGTATTCATCAGTTCCTGGAGCCCTGTCTTTTGCCAAAGCCTTTAGTGTAGCTTAGACTTCTTTCCTTAATGCCATTGGTTCTTGATCATATGCTACATCTTGTTATGATTGAACATTAACTAATTTTTTTTTTTTTTTTTTTGGTACAGTGATGCTGTGGATTTTTTCTATCTTCTTTTGATGCTTCCTGCACCATTCAATATTTTACCCAGTTGTTGTTGTTAAGTGCCGTGGAGTTGGCTCCAACATGTAGAGAACCCTGTGTAGGCTTCCCAAGGTTTTAAATCGTCACGGGAGCAGAAAGCCTCATCTTTCTTCCACGGAGTGACTGGTGGGCTCAAACTGTGGACCTTGTTGTTTGAAGTCCAGTGGTTATCCTATGGAGCGACTACACTCCCTATTTTGCCCATTGTTGTTGTTAGGTGCTCTCGAGTTGGTTCCAACTCTTAGTGACCCGCTGGTATTCATAAGGTTTTCAGTGACTAAATATTCAGAAGTAGTGGAGGGTTGGAGACAAAGAGGAAGCCCATCAATGATATGGATTGCCACAGTGGCAGCAGCGGTGGACTCAGGTGTAGCAACGATTGTGAGCTTGGACAAGGACTGGACAGTGTTTCGTTCTGTTGTGCAGAGGGTTGCTATGAGTCGGAAATGACTCAATGGCATATAACAACAGCAGCAACAACATAGTGATCCTGTAAAAGGTTTTCATGCAGCGGCTGGTGAGCTTGAACCCCCGACCTTGTGTTTCAAACCGACTTTGCAGTCCAGCCACATTAACCCACAGCGTCACACCTTCAATATTGCAAGTCAAGGCTTAATTTTTTTCTTTAGTTCTTTCAACTTGAGAAATGCTGAGTGTGTTCATCCTTTTTGATTTTTTAAATCCAGATCTTTGTACATTTCATCATAATATCTGACTTTGTGTTCTTGAGCTGCCCTTTGAAGTTTTCTGTATAACTGTTTTACTTAATCATTTCTTCTAGTTTCTTTAGATTCTCTAAATTCAAGAGCCAGTTTCAGAGTCTCTTCTGACATCTATTTTGGTCTTTTCTTTCTTTCCTGTCTTTTTAATGCCTCTGCTTTTTTCCTGTATGTTCTTGATATCAGCTCTTCTGATCTTTTGTCATTTGTGTCTTATGCATCAAACTTGATCTTGAAGTGGTCTCTGCATTCATGTGGGGTATATTCAGGATCATAATTTGGCTCTCATGGACTTGTTTTAATTTCCTTTAGCTTCAGCCTGAACTTGTATATGAGCAATTGCTTGTCTGTTCCACAGTCTGTCCCTGGCCTTATTTTGGCTGATGATAATGAGCTTTTCCATTGTCTCTTCCCACAGACATAGCCAATTTAATTCCTGTGTATTCCATCTGGTGAGGCCCAGGTGTGTAGATGACTTTTATGTTGTTTTAAAAAGGTATTTTTCAATGAATCATTCATTGATCTTCAGTATTCTACCATGCAATCTCCCAGGTCACGTCTCTTCCTCGCCTGATAGCCATTAGTATTTTTTTATTATAAATCATTTCCTAATCAATATACATGACAAATACGTATTTTATTTGTCATGTTTTTCAGAAAGGACAATGTATTACACACAGTGCAGTCATCCCCTTTCACTAAGTGTGTCCTAGAGTTCTCTTTCTAGTGGTACATAGAGAGCCTCCTTAGGACAGTTACTTAATAAACATAACATTCTTTCTTGCTTTTTGCTATTAAGATTGATACGTAATGAATCACATTTGTGCAGGTGTACAAATAGGATAAAGTTCCAGAAGCAGAATTGGAAGAAAATAGGCATGCAACTCTAGCTAAAGTGATGTATCTATGAACCCTGGTGTGGCTCTGTAAGCATTGGACTGCTAACCACAGGGTTGGCAGTTCAGACCCACCAGATGCTCTCAGAAACCCTATACATCATCATCTGACTCGATGGCAGCTAACAACAACAATGCAGCTATGCACTTGTTCCTTTATTTCTTAAGTTGATGCACTGTAAATGAAGTGGATAATTATTTCCTTTCTTTTCTCAGCTGAAAGCTAGAATTGAAGTTCACTCTGAAGCTAGAATCAGCAGACTCCTGTGGACTGGATTGGCACTTCTGTCCATTCAGGGAGGGGCATTGGCATGGTTCACTTGGTGGGTGTACTCCTGGGACATCATGGAACCTGTTACATACTTCCTCACAGTTGCAAATTCCATGGTCTTTTTTGCATACTTTCTCGTCACTCGACAGGTGAGTGGTGTATTAGGGAAATATTAAGTAAAAACTTCTGTGCAAAACATTTCTTACTCAACTTTGTAAGTAATAAGGGCTTTATTGAATGAATTCCTACTATCTGGGTGTTTATAGAAGGAGCCCTGGTGGCACAGGGGTTAAGCTGCTAACTAAAAGGTTTAAACCTACCAGCTGCTGTGTGGGGAAAAGATGTGACTGTCTGCTTCCTTAGAAACCCCAGGGGGCAGTTCTACTTTGCCATACAGGATGGTCACTATGAGTTGGAATTAACTCGAGGGCAGTGGGTTTGTTTGTTTGTTTTTGTGTGTGGGGGTTGTTTATAAGTGGATACATTTTTACTGGTTTTCATGAGGCTGGTTGTAGATTTACATATAGTCTACAGCAACTATATATAGCCTCTATAGAGAAACATTAAGACAACTTGCAAATCCTGTCATTGGGGTTGACATATCACATTTATGTTTCCTCTTTCCATATCACATCTATGTTTCTAGTTTATGGGTTAAATTGAATATGTAATGCAGAACACCCAGTAAATTCACCTTTACTTCATGGTTGTTTTCCTAAAAATCTCCCTGTCTGCTTGTGAGAACAGGACTGAAGGAGCAGCTGATCTTAAATGAGACTGAAATGTTTATACTTGTATCTGCTTGTGCTTTCTCTGGTGACCACTGCAAATGTGTAACTCATTAGCTCTGCTTGGCTGTGGTGGTGCTGAGTCGTTTCTTCTGGCAGGAACATGTTCGTTTAAAACATGCTCATTTTCTTTTTCTCGCTCTCTTTTTAAAGGATTATACTTACAAAGCTGTTAGTGGTAGGCAATTTCTTCACTTCTTCTATAAGAACTCAAAGCAAGAACATTTTGATGTGGAGCAATACAACAAGTTAAAAAATGATCTTGATGAGGTAGGTATCTGATTGTAAATATATGTCTTTTAGCTACAAGAGTGTAGTATCAGGGAAATGCAATTGATGGCTCATGCTTATGGGTTAAATCATGATCCTAGCTAAACCTCTGTCTATTGTGAAATCGTTGACATATCTGATACTAATTTCAGATTTAACAGTTTTATTCTTGTCATCAGTATTTTACATGGAACTAACTTTAAATAGGAGTATGTATGAAAATATCTTAAGACTTTGAGACAGTAAAATGCAAGACTCAATAAAATGTATTCCTCAATGAGTATGATTATTAAGGGAAAAAGCCAATTATAAAGTGTAATTGCAGATTTTTAGCTATTAAACACATGATTGTTGTTGTTAAGTGCCATCAAGTCGGTACCGACTCATAGCAACCCTATGTACAACAGAACGCAACACTGCCCGGTAATGGACCAATCTCACAATGACAGAAAGTTGAAATTTCGGAATGTGAATGCTATGGGAAATAATTTTAACCTTTCTAAAGGCATTTTCAAGTTTCTTCTTAAAAATGAAAGAATCGGTGTGGTGCTCTTGCTTTTATCCTTCCCTCCATGTTTCAGGTGAGGAAACAGAGGTTCTTACAGTCCGTGGTCACGGTTGCACTTAGATACAGCTAGAAGGTGGGCAAATCAGAGCATGAACCAAAAGTTTGACTCGGAACCCTGTGCTCTTCAGAACACCACAGTCTGGTTCTTACACAGTTTCTCTCTCTGGCCTCCCAGTATACTCACCTGTTTTCAGATAGTGGAACTCCCTCTTAGGATTTCATAAGGGCTGTAATCGTTACTGGAATAGATCACCACACCTTTCTCCTGATGGTCAGTGGCCAAGTGCTTGACCATTTTATCACCAGGGCTCCGTATCACTATATGTTGTTGTTGTTGCTAAATGCCCTTGAGTCGGTTCCGACTCATAGTGACCCTCTATAGGATTTTTGAGGAGCGACTGGTGGGTTTGAACCGACGACATCATGACTCTAATTGATATTGGGGCTCAGTACTTATCTTGCAGTGCCACACCACTAAACAGGAAAATATAATGCATGTTTGATTTTTGTGATGGTTGTTAATTTAGTTAGATACTCTTTACACTTGAAGAGATCCAATCCAAGGCTAAAGAATATTTTCCCAGCAAGTTTATGTGAAAGAGGTGGTGTGTGGTTGACTTGATTCCAATTCACAACGACCCTGTACATGGTTTCCAAGGCTGTATATTTATACAGGAGCAGAAAGCCTCACCTTTTTCCCATGGGGTGCTCAGTGGACTCAAACTCTGACATTGCAGTTAGCAGCCCAACATGTAACCCACTAAGCTACTAGAGCTCCCTAGCAAGTTTATAAGAATGGGCAGTTAAGATTCAAATTGATCCCTTGTATTTATTATTATTATTATTATTATTTTAATGTTTTGAAGTTGAGAGAAAAAAGGAATACAGAAGATCGCAGAATTTTTGTTTTGTTTTTAACATGAGCTGGAAAGACCATTATTAAGGGAGTAAGCTAATAGTTTTTGAAAGCATAATGATGAATTAGAACCTTTAATTCATCTTTTTTAAAAAGCCCATATCAAATTGAAGTATCTGTGTATTTATCTGTAGTGGTATAAGTATGTTTATTGCCCTAAAGAGATAGCAGTTTATAAAATTCCTGATTGGATGCTTCTTCTTTTTCCCACTGACAGGCCAAAGATGCCCTGAAACATTTGCGCCATAGTCTCTATTTTCGATTGCCCGTGGAGGAACTTGATGACAAGAATTAATCTTACATTTTTAGATGTCATTGAATTTTTCCATTTTGTGTTGATTTGTAACTTAGAAACTGGAACTTTTCGAGTCGCATAATTAATTTCAATTTGTCTGTTTCAATATATTTTAGTTAATAAAATATTCTTTTAAAACTTAAGACACTCTTTGAAGTTCTCCCTGGAGATTTTTTGATTTGTTAATTTTCATTACTTGTTGAATTTGAATGCTAGCACTACTGTTTGGCTCTTTAGTCTTTCTCCACGTCATTCCCATGAAGGCATGAAAATGATCCATGGGCTTAGCATTCACTTCCCTCCTAGGCCTCATTTAGAATCATACAAAATTCAGTTGTGTCCCTAATAATTCCATAGCTCAGATGGAATGTCATTTTGCTGACACCAATGTTGTTGTTGTTGTTGATAGGTGCCATTGGGTCGGTACCGACCCATAGCAACCTTATGCACAGCAGAACGAAACACTGCCTGATCCTGGGCCAACCTCACTACTGTTGACACACTTTAGTCCATCGATGCTGCCACTTGGCCAGTCCATCTCATTGGCGGTCTTCCTCTTTTGCTCTGACCCTCCACCTTACCAAACATGATATCCTTCTCCACTGATTGGTCCCTCCTGACAATATGTCTGAAGTATGAGAGACAAAGTTTGGCTGCACTTTTTCTTGTTAATGCCTTTATTGCTGTTGTTTAATGTTTATTAAATCTTAGTGGTTTCCCCTTATCTTGATGCAAACATGTATTAATTTTCTTTTGAGATTGCCCTGTAATTTATTTAACTTCTATCCAAGTTTAAAACAGTTTGTTTTATCTTGAAATCTACTTGACTTCCTTGCCGTTTAGAAATTCTGTAACTACACTTTTCCCTCTTTGCTTTGTAGTAGTCTTCATTATTAATTGCTACCTCTAGTTGAGTATTTTCAGTCTGGTAGGTTTGTTTTACTTTGGATACATCTGTATTTGGGTTGAGTTCTGGAAGGTGTTGCCATGTATGTAAATCTCAGGTTGTTGTCTGCTATTGTTGGCTCTAAGTTGGAAGGTCTCCCTTTAGTATTTTGGTGTAAAGTTGGCATGGTTATTTAAAAATTCCTTTAATTTCTGTTAATCTGCAAATATCAAATGTTCTAACTTTACTGTCATATTTGAAAGATATTTTTCTTGATATGTCATTTTTGGTTGGCAAAATTTCTTTTCTTTCAGAGTTTTGTGTGTATCTTCCCATTGGCATCTTTTCTGCAATGTTTCTGTTGAGAAATCAGAGTTTAATCAGATCATTTCTCCTTTGTAGGTAATTTTTTGTTTTTCCCAAGTTGCTCTCAGAATTCTTTTCTTGTCTTTGATTTTGGAAATTTTGATTTGAATAGGTCTTGGTGACTTTCTTTTTGGGGTCTTTGCTGTTTGGGTTTCATTCAGCTTCTTGAATTCTTACTGTCTTACATGATGTTAGAGAAGTTTACTTGCAACAACTCTTGACTATCTTTTCTGTATCTTTTTCTGTTCTGGAATTCTTATCTCTTGATGTTGTCCCACATGAATCTTAGACTTTTTTCATTTTTTGTGTGATTGTTCTTCTCACCTACCAATATTGAGAAATTTATCCTTAAGTTCACTAATTTGGGCTTCTGTTGACTCAACCTTCTGGCTTTCTGTTTGCAGATTTTGTATTGACTCCAATCCTTTATCTATTTTATTGAT